GATAGGGCTGTGCTCATGTATAAATAGAAATGTTGCTGCTACCCTGATGAATCAGACCAGATGTTTCTCTGATGTCTCTGTTTGGTCCTTTGGTTAAAAAAAAAAAAAAAAAAAAAAAAAAAAAAAAAAAAAAAAAAAAAAAAAAAAAAAAAAAAAAAAAAAAAAAAAAAAAAAAAAAAAAAGTATAATTTTGCTAAAATTATATGTGGGGCCAGGAATGTGGAACAAATGCTTTAAGCTTAAATAATATATAAAGGAATAAAACTACTGAGGAAATCTTTATTAACGAGAAAAACATCCATTTAGCGAAGGACAGAAAAAGGGAAAGAAGGAAATAATTTGTTGATATGACTGATGATGAGATTCAGGAGGTCTGAATTCTAATCCTTCCTTGGTTGCTAGTTTTGTGAACTTGTGGCAAGTCATGTCTAGGTATGTTTATTTTTTTAATGGGGTAGAAACAGGGAAGGGCTGGGGGTTGCATGGCTGGATTTAATAAACTTTTTCATTTTAATTTCTTGTTTCCTGGCTGCTGGCTTCTTTGAGGGGTTAATATGTGAAAGACATTATGGGGGATAAACATGAATAACACAAGGCCTCTGCCCTCAAGATGCTTATTACCTAATAGCAAATATTAGACTTACATAAAGGACTATATATACCGTGAGTGGTTCCAGGAGACAGGAACAAATGCCATGGGAACTCAGAGGAGGCAGAGATCGCTTCCAGCTTGGAAGATAGGAAATGAATTGTTGGAGAATGACATTGGCATTTGATGGGAGGTGGGCTCGGGGGGGAGGGCTTGAAGGTTGGTGCAGTTTTTTTTGCTGGCAGAGATGGAGGAAATGACATTCCTGATGCAAAAAATAAGCAGAGGCAAGGGGCAAGGGAAGTGCTGGATGTACTCAGGGACCAGTGAGCCATTTAGGTTGGCTGAGCACAGGCAATGAGTCAGGTAGCAATGGTGGTTTGGGACCACATTTGGGAGGGCCTCTTTATTTTGCATGCATTTTAGTAGACAGTAGGGAGCTATTTCTTTGTTTGAATGTGACCTGGTCTGAACTGTGTTTTAGAATAATTTCACCTACTTCAGAGTGTAGGGTGAATTGGAAGTGGGAAGGCCTCAGGGGAAGGCGGGCAGCTAAGAAACTAATGCGTAATCCTGGTGATGCTAACCAGGCCTGAGCTAGGATGGTGTCAGTGGGAATGGAAAGCAGGTTTCTGCAAGCGAGGGTGGAGAAGAGGACTTGAAGGTAACTCCATGTTTAAGCAAATCTGAGGTAGAACCCTCTAGTTCTATTAATACCAAAGGAAATTCAAGAAAAGAAGGAGTTTGCTTTCCATACAATGAGTCTGAAGTATGGGAAGCATATCTCAGTGGAGGTGTTCAACATTTATAACCTCCCGACTGGACCTCAGTACTGCAGTAGGGGCTGGAATTGGGTACCTCAAAGTCAACATTATCAAAGTGAGAGCTGAAATTGTAGAAGTGAATAGATCACCACGGAATCAAAGAATGAGACAGGAGGAAGACAAGAGAATCTTGAGAAACGTAGAAAAAATTCTCTTAGGATAAACTGGGCGCAGTCGATGTCACAGAATATAATGAGTGCTGCACCATTGTGTCCAAGTGGAAAGGGGAAGGCCGATGAAACAGTTTAAAAACTGCATTGCTGCTTGGGTCATTAACAGCTTAGAGGTGGTACCTAGGGAGCCAAGAAGGAACCGGCCATAAGAAAATAGTTAAGAGCATGTGTGATGAGGGATCCTCTAATGTGTTTGTTTTCTGTCAGACAGATGGAGAAAATTGGACCCATACCTGGTCCTCAGGTTGTGACAGCCAAGATCCCAAATCCTTATCTTTCCTTAATACTGGCAATGTGTATACTCAGCACCCAAAGCCTCTGTCTCTCTTTTGGAAATCTCAGATTACAGACAGCCTTTGTTTTTCAGACTACTACTTGGGGAATTCATTTTTTTCTTCTCCACTTGTCCCGAGTCTTGGGTTTGATACTTGGAATTGAACTCCAAGGATAACAAATATGTACATCACTTCTGAAAGCATAGCTCCAGAGGGAAGAAAAAGGAGGCGGGGGTAGGGTAGGCAGAAATGAGACTTTAGCTCTGTTGTAGTTTCACACACAAAAGCCTGTTTGCAAACTCCGATGTAAATGAAGACTGTATGAGCCAAAGATTCATCTTCACAATAAGATCTGCGATACACCAGGGAGAGAACACTGGTGTAAATCCAAGTAGGATTAACTGCCTCCCAACAATGCAGACTGGTTTATCACTTTTGCTTGCTTTACTTCAATATTTTTCTTAAGTGACAATAATTTGTAAAAATATGAAACAGTTACTTTTGGCTTCACGAGTGTTAGAACAACTCTACCTGCCAAGGGGTAGGGGTGAGGGGATGCTTAAGGCATCCAGATATAGTCTAATTAAAAAATGAGACTAGACTTTTAATCTATTAACTAGCTACGTTACTTTAGGTAGGTTGCTTAATAGAATTCTATGCTTCATTATTTTTTGTTTCCATTGGATTAATGGCAATTTAAAAAGTACTGGTTCTCTTTATCTCACAGAATTATCATTTAGGTTGTAAAAGTATTTTCTCTTTAAATTATAAACATTTGGTAAATTCCAGACATACTATTACTTAGACAAATGGACAACTACTGCCGCTAGTCTGAGGGCAGGATGAAGAGGTGAAGCAGGGACCAGGACTTGGAGAGTCTGAATGAAGGAAGGATTATTGGGGGTTGGCAGAAACTTTTACTTCAGCTCAAGGATGGATGACACCACCGAGAGAGCAAGCTTGAAAAAAACCCCTCTGTGAATGTTTCATACACCACTACTAATGCTGCTTTGAGAAAATTGCTTGGGTAAATGGATTCCTCACATATAGACTAATAAGGAGATGCTCAAATTTGTATATCTGATGTCCATTGTTCATTTGCTCTCTGACTTCTGTTATCATGACTTCAACAGTAATTTAGTATAAATAAAAATGCTCTAGCTCTGTGCAATGCCGGGCTCTGTAATCTCCTGGCTTCAATACCTTCCCTTGTCCATTCAAGCACCGAGGAATACAATGATTTAGACTTGGAAGTCTGACTCTGGAATTGATCACTCTAAATACATTTCCAAGCCATATAGCAACAAGCTTGATCTCAAAAGGTTCTTGAGGGAACAAATTTGAAGTAACCGATATCACAGAGACATTGTAGACCTATTTGCCCTGGTGGTTGACTTGCTAGGGAACCTGGCTGTTCCTAAGTTTCATCACCTATTAAACAAGAGGCAGGGTGAGATTATCTCAAAAGCCACTTTCTGCTTTGAAATACTGTAACGCTAAATAAGAGTTTGGAGGAAATTAAAAAATGCATTGTCATAGCTCTTGATAAGCCCAAATAATACACCAGGAAACCACAAAACCAGAACGTGAAAATGTCCCTTGTAGACGAGTCTCTGTGCAAAGTAGGGGCAATTGGGGAGAAAAACTCTAAACAAAACCCCAAAAAAAGCTGTAAAAAAAAAAAAAAAGCAACATATATTTGTGGAATTCCTGATTCATTTTAAGTAGCCATGTTAAAAAACATCGTTGAAGACCTACTATGTGCAAGGCGCTTAGTGGTTGCTTTTCAACTTTTTACTTTGCCAGCAATCTCTTAAACCCAAACTGATGAATACCGCCTTGGGTGGGCATAAAATTAAAGCCAAGGTCTAGGGAGACAGTCTACAAATAGACCAAAAATAAAACACAAGTGACATCATTAGAGAAAAAAAAAAAAGCCAACAAATTGCACAGGGATCAAAGGCAAAAAAAAAAAAAAAATAGAGAGAGAGAGAGAAACATATTTGGTTAATACCAGGCTTTGAGCATTTCATGTACTTGCCTGGCCCGTCCATCCATCCACACCACACTTCCTAACCATGCTATGCTAAACCGATGACACGTCCAGCTTCAGCTCGGACAGGGCGCGGATCCCACACAGATCCCACAGTCCCAGAGCCCGCTGCCAACTCTCCTCTCTGGGAAGAAAGGAGGCGTTGCCCCTAGGGCGACTGTGAAATAAAGCAGCCTCTCCGATCTCTTCGTCCCGTAAGAAATATCGGCCCGAATAAATAAGCACATAAACAAACACAAACACATACATAAGTACGCCAAAGGAAAAGGGTGGGAAGAGGGGGGACGGAAGCGCTTTCCCTTTCTTTTTAAATTTCCCGCACCCCTCTTCCTCCCCGCCTCCTCGCGCCGTCTGCACTTCCAGCCGCAGCTCCCCGCCCCGGGCGGCGTCCCGCGG